TCACTCCAAGATTAATATAACTCATGGAATTGACTACATTGGTCCCCTATGGAATAATCTCTTAGAAAAGGAAAATGGGGTATGATTTGACGTTTCTGCTAAGTTCAGGCCATGTCCCTATATAGAGTAAATTGTTTCAGTGAAAAAGTACCGCAGAGATCTTATCCATTACTGACTTTCTAGGAATCTCGGAACAACTTAGATCTGTTTTGAGGAAGAAAAGATCAGACTGTCTCAATCACTTCTTCACCCGTTTGTAAATTATCCATGTATTTTACAATTGAACATACCTGTTTTGATCTTTCAAATGGAAAGAAAGCATTCTAAACAGCATTCCAATCTTTATCAAAAGATCTTTTGGGATTTGGGGAAGACAATCACATTTCAAGATCCTTAAGTTTAAGCATAAGCTGAAGGATCAGGTTGGTTTCACTTCAACACTCTTGGATCATCAGAGTGAAAGTAAGAAGCATCCATGGAAAGAAATTTTCCAGGTTGAAGGCGAGTGAGTCCCAACATTTAGAGGTAGAAACATGGATCAAATGCTTGATCGACATCCAGGAGTCAAGAGTAACAACAGCTCTGTGAGCAGAGGAGAGAGGAGGTTGGCAGGATCTCAGATAATGTATCAGTACCAGTCCTACCGCTTGATAAAAAACACCAGTCACTGGAGTGGAGATAGTTTACTATAAATAAATCATATGGTCAAAATAGAAGTTTATTATGCGTTAGTGTGAATCATAATAGGAGATTAGAATAACAGTGAAGCAAAGGCTAGAGAATGCTAATGAAGACAGAAACCACAGATGTGAGAAGGAGCTACTCTCCCCAGGGCTGAGAGGGAACAAATCCCTAAGAAACACATCCAGGAGCTCCCATTGATTCGCAGCAGTGTTTCTAGAATGTTCCTCGGTCCCATCAGTACCATTGGTTCACATCTTAAAGTGTCCTCCCCATTTCTTAAATGGAGTCATTCAATGAGGTCCAAGAGATGAAGAGAATCAGATTTCTCTGCATTCCACACTACAGTGTCATTCTTTTAACAGTCCCAACACTTAAATATCTTAAACAAGATATGTAAGCTCTTCATGCTCTGTCACCTTATCTATAAAGGAGAGGGCTCATATTTAATCCCATAGGGTCATCACTGCAAGAATTAATAAGTTGATACCTACAAAGCACTCTGAGCAATGTCTGGAATCTAATAAGCATTTATTAGGTGCTAACATTGGTCATTAACATTATTTGACAAATCTCACATGATGTTTGTACTCACGAAAACGAACGGATGTTTTTACGGTCACTCCTACTTTATTAGTTATGATGAATTTGTTCAGAAAGAAATCTTCCTCGTTAAGTCAAGAAGCTGGGACAAGTTCAGCTCCATGCAGAGTTGATAGAAAACAGTTGTTCCCTCCCCAAAACAATAATGGGTAATGAGAACGAGAGTCTTCTGGGAGACTTCCTCATGCAAACACTCCCCTAAATACCTTCCAGGCATGGCTTCAAGAATGCCGGTGACCACCCTTACCCACTGGGTTTGAAAGGGAGAAAACAGTGGGATGGCAAGCCCTTGTGTCATTGGGTATGTGCTATGAAATAATATCTACTCCAGAAAGAGAATGGCTGCACAGTCATGAACCCAGGGTTGAGCCTCTTAAAAGGAATAAACACTGAACCCAAGTGCATTAGCCCTACTTCATGCCTTTCCAATCAGTACTGCAGAAATAAACAGTTTATACATCCAAAGTAACCCTAGAGTACCCTCACCAATTATTTTATAAGTACTCCTTGGAAACCAAACACATTATCCTTGCTGCTCTATCCATGGCAGCAGCTCATCTGCCATGAACTTTCAGAGTGGGAGAAGAATCTGCATTCCCAGGATCTTGAGGCCAGATTTGTTCTGAGGAATAAGAAGGGTGTTGGAACATGCTCCCCCACCCTATTCCTCGCCCCATGCTTCTTCCATGCTCTGCCTGCCCACCTGTCCACCTACCTCAGTCTCAATAGATTGGGGATTTTTATTGTTGGAATACTGGGGTCTTGGTGGTTGTCCAGGGAAGCAGATGATATTGGAGGCTCATGAAACAGTGATAGAGCTAATACTAGAATATCTTCTCTTCTCTGGTTCACAGGTCACAGTCACGGTCCTCCTGTTGTTCATCGATTTGCTCAAGCAGGCCCAGTAACGTTTCCATTGGAGACTTTGTAGTTACTGTGTTTGGCATATTGAATACATCACGGGGGCTTGCCAGGCTCTGCCGTGCGGGCGAGATACTCTCGGTAGCTTGCCGGGCTCTCCGAGAGGGGCGGAGGAATCGAACTCGGGTCGGCCATGTTGGCTGCGTGCAAGGCAAACGCCCTACCGCTGTGCTAGTGCTCCAGCCCACAGGAACAATGAAAAAATTTTATCTTAGGAAGGCTTCTCTGGGGTTCAGGTCAGGGACTGGGCTGGACAATCAGGCCCAGATCCTGATGTCCCTCCCTGGCTCTAGGCTGCCTCTTGGAAATAACCCAGTGTCCAAGAACAGATGAATGTATAAAGAAATGATGGCACATAGGGCTGGAGAGATAGCACAATAGGAAGGTATTTGCCTTGCATGCCGCTCACCCAGGTTTGATCCCTGGTATCCTGTGTGGTCCCCTGAGCCCTGCCAGGAGTGATAGGTGAGTTTAGATCCAGGAGTGTAGATCCTGATTCATACCTGAGCATAGCCAGGTGTGGCCCCCAAACTAACAAATGAAACAATGATACAAACACTGAGCTAGAAGAAAAGACAAAATCATGTAATTTGTTGCTAAGTGAATGGATCTGGAGAGTACCACGCTGAATGAAGTTAGTCAGAGGAGAGAGACAGAAGCAGAATGATCTCTCTCCTTTGTGGGATTAAAGAAGCATAGTGAGAAAACAACAAAGGTCTAAAGGCAACAGAAACTGAGAACTGGGCCTTGGTAGGAAGCATGTCACTGCAGGGTACTGGGGAACGGACACTGGAACCATGGTGGAGGGAAGTGAACACTCTATTAGAGAGTGTAGGGTTGGAACTGTTTCATGCATGAGACCTTGTAATTACCAATCTTGTAAATCACAGTGCTGAAAACAAATTCAAGAAAAGAAACACCTCTATGCAGTAGATACAGATCAGGGATGTTATCATTTTGGCCTAATCCATTTCTGTGTAATGCCTGTGGGGATTATCCGCCTTTCTTTCAATGGAGTCAGCTGGACCGGAATTTGTACAGCAAGTCATGCCTCTGATATGCTTGAACCTTACACCTCTGGGCATAAGGAAAAACAGCACTCATTATGTAGACAGCATTCATTCTGCAGCTTATGTGCTGGGTGGGGGTATCAAGAGACTCATGAGCACATTTCCAAGTCATTATAAAGAGTCACTGACCAGCACCCACCAGATAGGGAAGCTACAGCTCCTTGCCCCAAACACGTCACCCACTGTGACATCACTAGAATAACCTGGCATATCTGATATGTGAACTCAGGTCTCTTCCAAAGCACACATGCTGTCCATTTCTTACTGCTGCTTAGGACTCAGGTCACTCATCTTATTCCATCTGATATCATCTTCTCAGTCCTACTATGGTCAATAGGTGTGGATCTGAGCATTCAGGCTTATTTTCCAAACTTAATATGGTCTTTTTTCTTCACTCATGGAGATGGCTCAAAGGGCTGGAGTGCATTCTTTGCATGCAGGACCTCTGAGTTTGATCCTAGCACTTCCAGGTCATCAGAACTATGCCAGGAGTAGCTCCTGAACTCGGAACAGCTCTCCCACAAGCACAAATGCCCCCCCCCAAACCTCCCCCTCCCTCTCTATATATGCATATGCACACTTATATACATATATATGTATGTGTGTATATGAACTTGCTTCCCCGCATTTTTCTCCCTTGTTAATCTGGCAATCATCTCTTTTTAGTGATATCTTCTTTTACTTAAAAGGTATTTTATGGAAGCGTCTTCCTTTAAAGAACTTGTTAGATAATTTCTGTTTCTTCAAGGACAGTCTGTCCCTCTGTAAGAGATATTTCTATAGGTCAAAGATATAGCACAGCAGGTAAGGTACTTTCCTTGCATGCAGCTGACCTGGGTTTGATCCTGAGCATCCCATACGGTCCTCACAGTGTCACCAAGAGTAATGCCTCAGCGATCAGCCAGGAGCATCTCTGAAGGTGGCCCCCAAACCCAACAAACAAACAAACAAACAAAAATGTATATACATGAGAGATGGAGAGAAAGAGAGAGAGACTTTTCAAATATATTTTTATTAGTGAGACATCATGAGGTACAGTTGTAGACTTACAAATTTTTGTGCTTGGGTTTCAATTATACAATGATCAAATACCCGTCCCTCCACCAGTGCCCATTTCCCACCACCACGGATCCCAGTATTCCTCCCACCCCTCATCCCCCCATCCCACCCTGCCTCTGTGGCAGGGCATTCCCTTTTGTTGTCTCTCTCTTATTGGGTGTTGTGGTTTGCAAAAGAGGCAATGGGTGACAATCATGTTTGGTCTATAGTCTACTTTCAGCATGCTTCAAGAGAGAGAGATTTTTAAAGTTCTGCAGGGTTTCTTAGTTTTATGAGTGTTCACGTTTAGGATGTTCTTTTTTTAAATTACCTTTGGACTATGCATTAATTTTGAAATAGCATGCTTGAGGCTCTAACAGGCCCTAGGTCTGGATAGACACTTTGTTTCTCATCTGAAAACAGTTGTACTCTTTACTTTGCTGTTCACTTCCAAATTTAAGTGAGCTTTGGAAGAAGGTTTGCGATTCTTTCTAAATAAAATTACATTGTCTATGAGAGTTAGCTGAAAAGTGATAAAGAGGAAGTAGAGATAGTTATGGAAAATAAACTCACATATACTCTTTTTAAAGAGAAAAAGATTTGATTTGATTTGAGCCAAGTACTAAGCAAAGAGTAGATCATGGTTATAGAGAGCTTCAAGAATACTTAGGATTCACTGGTACTAACCTAATGTTAGGTCAATGACTTTAGAGTTGACCTCAACATAAAATTCTTCTTGTAGCATATTACGGTTTGTTGTGGAAGTAATAAATCTAGTGCATAATAAATACCAACCCTTTCCACCTTCCCTCAAAACCTACTAATATTGGGTGAGAAACAAACTATTCATACCGTAGGATGGATGTGAACCAGTTTAAACATAAAGGAAGTTGATAATAGTACTGGTGATTATAATCAAATCAGGGATTGCTAAATTTTCTTTTTAGCTAGTAGGGATCCTTTCTTGAATGCTGCAGGAAAAGAGTCCAGGGCTAAAATGAAAGCATTTTATCTACTTATCCAACAGTGAGCCCCTCCTTTGACCTGACTGACCCCTTGTTTTATTACTTGTCTTCCCCACTGGATTATAACCCAGTGTTGCCCAGATCAAGCTGCCTACGAGGGAACATTTATCAAACACTAATCACATGCATGTTCTTTTAAGCACTTTTCAAGAATCGGTTTATTAAAATCTCTAAGACCTCTATCTTTTGCATAATGTAATTATATTTATTTTATGTGTGAGGATATCATGTCCCAGAAAGGTTAAGAAACGTATAAGATCATACAATGGCTGAGTGTTTGTAAATAAGATTTGAAGTTAGAAAATCTGATACTAGATGCAAAATCTAAACTTTTCATTTCATTTCATTTCATTTCATCATCCTGTTAATCGTCGATTGCCTCGAGCAGGCCCCAGTAACGTCTCTTTCATCCTAGCCCTGAGATTATATTCACGGCTCTTTAGGAGAATGAGACCCATCAAAATCTAAACTACTAAACTGTATTTCAAGAAATAGATGTTTAATGAATAACTATAGCATATTGCATTTGTGTGTTTGTATGCAGCAATGAAGTATACTTGGATATATTGATAACATATATAAAAATTATATGCTAGCTATAGTTTTTTGTATTTAAGTTGGTAATATAATATGCTGTTAATGTTGAATAAATATGGATGTGTAAGTATATATACATTATATAGGATAACTGAATTACAAAGTATTTATCACGGTCAATTGTTATATGTAAGATCCTAACACATTAAGATTGCATTCTTAACATACATGTGAGAATACTGAGTCAATACTAATATTTCTTTAATGAGTGAAAAAGTGAGTGAATGAATGAATGAATGAATGGATCATCCTTATGGTTATCATAGGCTGGATTGTCCCTTACCTCTCTCTCTTGCCTTCTAGGCCTGTGACTCTGGGGTTGACCAGCTGACTCAAGGGCAAGCAGTGTTAGGTTGTTTGTAGAGAAGTGAAGAAATGGAATTAATTCCTCAAAGAACAAATGCTCCTTACCATGGTAACATCCTATCACTAGGCTTCCTTAGTTATGATGGCAAAGCCAAACTTGTTTCTCTAACAGTTTCTGGCCTTCAGGGCTTTTTAAATTTTTTTTTTATTCTCCCAAGACTTAGCAGGAGCATGCGAGGCATCTACAACACCTTCTGAAATGTGGCCAAATGCACTTTTCAGGAGGGAGCAGATGTTGGCTGAGAAGCATCACTCCCTGCAGATAATTTGCCTCAACTGGAAAGCAGCTACCTGCCTTTTCTGATTGGATTGTGTATTTTGTATTTTGTATTTTGTATTGTATTTTGGCCACAAGACGAGAAAGGGGAAAATGACAAGAACACTTCCCCACAATACACACACACACACACACACACACACACACACACACACACACACACATGGACATGCTCATGCTTGCACACATATACACACACACACACATACATTTTTAAGTGGAAAAAAAACTAAGTTTTGGTTAGGAAATAAACCAAAGACTCAGAAAAGGGCCCAGGGAACATCCACTCTGTTGATTAAACTGTGGAATTCAGGCAACATTCCCAGATTGGAAATTGGGCAAGAGATGGCCATCAGGCCTAAGTATGGAGGAATTAAGCATCCGTGATTGTATGTTGCTTCATTCACGACTTAGTGGCAGACAGATCTTGAATGCAGTAACTCCAGCTTGGTAGGAAGGGATGGGTCTTGCTCTCTCTAGAGATGCATTGCTTTGTTGGTCAAATCAAGTTTTGTGCATGTGTTTTGTTTGTTTTGTGCATTTATGCTGTTGCTTTAAGACCCCAGCCTTCAGTGAGAGCTTCCATTTTCCCAGAGCAGTTCAAATGAACACGGAATTGAAAACAGATGTGGGCTCCAGCATGTTATTGCATGAGGGCGAATGGGGCATAGGGAGGGAACTGAGGGGGAGGTGGCAGGGACCCCGTGAAGGGACCTTCGCAGCCCCAGGACTCTCATCACTCGAGGGGGGCTGGACTCCAAATTCCACCAGCCGGCACTCTCAAAATGAACTCCTAACAGAAACCAGATGGGAGTGGGCTTCTAGCTGGGGGAGGCGACAGGGAGGGAGAGAGAGGAGCAGAAGGTTAGGGAGGAGGCAAGTCAGAAAGGTGGGGACTTGCGTTTATGCGCATGCCTGTGGAAGGAAGCAGAACGTGTTGAGGAGAGCTGATGGGAGTCAGGGCTCAAACAAGCTCAGGCCACCTGAGTCTCCTGCAGGAAGAATTCCCATTGTTTCTGCCCTGCAGACAAGAACCCATGACATTAAGATGTTCCAAGAGCAGGAAGAATCAAGCCAGATTCCACACCACCACCACCCCCTCCATTTTTTTTTTTTTTTAGCCTGGGAAACATCTCATCCAAACAGACCACTTGCTTTTGCAAATGCCAGTAGTCCTGATAAATCAAACTCGCTGGAGTCAGCACAGTCCTCGAGTTTCTTTCCATAAGGGCTTTGTCTGAGCAGAAGCTTGCCAAGGCGCGTCTGGGGTGGGGGAGGAGGGGTCGGGCCAGTGCAGCGTCTGGACAGCAATACCTCCTAGGTCTCTGCATCCTGGGAACCAGAGCTCATTCACCTCTGTTTTCTTGGACCAGTTTATCAGAGATTTGACAGCTCTCATATTGGAATGAAACTTTTTAACCTCTCCACAATCTTTTTTTATTTTTATCCAGTTTGAAGAAGAGGGATCTCAGGCTAGGGGACGTCTAAATTGGATGCCATTTTGGGATTTGCTGTGTTGGGTTTCAAGGGCTTATCGAATGCCGCCTGCTTTGGAAGGGAATCTGACTCTTAATGTATGGTTTGGCAATACAGCCTTCAATGTGCTTATGCATACCATGAAACAGAGATTTACAAAGGGCAGTGAATAGGGATTTTATGCTTCTGAGGAGAAGACTATCTATGGCCATATCCAAAGTCAAGGTTGGTGTTCAGAATTGGGGAGAGGGTTATACTATCTTTTCATGGGGGTGGTGAGCAAGGATACAGCTGGATGGTGGTCAAGGATGCAGCCGGATGCCCTACAAGTGGCAGTGTGGGTATGGGCACGTTACCACCAGTCAATTTTCTGACCCAACTGCCAATCAAATCAATCTAGCAAAAAACTCGATGATATGTTTTTTTGTGTGGTTATTGTGCCCATTTGAGGCTAAGGGTGGTAATGGATATATAAAACTTAAAGATAGTTCTTCAATACCCTTTTTAGGTCAGATCTTTAAACCCTAATCCTCTTACCCTAAACATATTGGTGATGCTGAAATAGCAATCACAGCTAGTTATACTGTATTGTACACCATACAGTGCTTTAAGTACAATGCATGTCAATAGTATCCTTGTTTTCATAAATATTTCAAGTGCTAGAGTCCATTATTTTCCAAATTTATATAAGAAAACAATGGAGACCCACATGCCTGAGATCACGCTAGGAAGTGCTGGGCTGGCTCCAGGAATATTTTTAGCCTAAGTCATCTCACAGGGCCCCATGTTCAGAGAGATACAGGCCTGGCTCAGTGCTCTGTCTTGTTGTCTGAAAACACTGATCATTTTCTTTAAACGTGTGTGTTTTGCAATTGAGACTCGTGGTACATGGAGATCTGGAAAAATCCAAGAGCCTGCTGTTTCCTGCTGCTCCATTCACGACAATGATGTCTTGATGTTCATGAATACAGGGTGACAGCGACTTATAACGCGTGAGCTCAGGGGACTCAAGGCATGTTCAAAGCAAGCAGGATGGACCCAAGACTGAGTAACACAGGGATCCATGGCCCCAAGAGGACAAACTGATATTTAAATCCAAACTTTTACCATACACAGAAACGAGGCAGAAAGAAGTCAACAGCATTCTAGGAAACATAAGCTCCTAGAACCCACCCACCACAGCCTTTCCGACTCATGTCACTTTTTGTCTTAGCCAATTTCTTATGTTTGAAATAGTGACACAGAGGGAAAGGGAAAGAGAACAACTCGTGGTTCTTAATCTTCTCACCCTTCCCTGCTCCTCAGGGGGCCCAAGGCAGAAGCAGGGAGAGAACAGTCTCTCTGATAGGGAAATAAAATGTGGGAGCTCTGTTTTCTACACCATATATCCACGATTTGGGGGAGAAATATATATATAGTATATCACTGTCTCACTGCCATCCCGTTGTTCATTGATTTACTTGAGCAGGCGCCAGTAACGTCTCTATTTGTCCCTGTCACGTGCTGGTGTAGCCCATGGCATACTGGGGCCTCTTTCAGGGTCAGAGGAATGAGGATAGCTTGCCAGACTCTGCAGTGTGGGCAGGATACTCTCAGTAGCTTGTCAGGCTCTCTGAGAGGGATGGAGGCTTTTGGGCAGCCTCTAATCACCTTTACAGGTATTCCCAGTCAGGCATATATGCGGACAGGATACTTTTGGTAGCCTGCCGGGTTCTCTGAGAGCAAGAACTAGACAATAAGAGGTCGTGTAGCCACCAATGCAGCAGTGCACTTCCAGGAGCTTGGTTTTATAGTCTCTGGATCTTGGTTGTTGGTGGGATTACACGGCAGTGGTGGGTGTAACTGTCTAGCTACTGGAAGATGGGGGATCTGGGTGGAGGAGGCCCAGTCCCGAACTGAGCAGGCTTGGAGATCTCAGCTCCGGGCCCGTGCAACTGTGTTCCTCTACCTGTTCCTTCATGCATGAGGCTCGTCTGAGTGTGTGGAGAGTGGTTTTAACGTGGC